ATATATATATATATATATATATATATATATATATATATATATATATATAAGATTACCTTTAAAAAAATGATGAGAAATTAATGGTATAATTGTTTTGCAATTCAATTTGCAACCTTGGAAAATATTTGTATTTGAAGCATTGGAAATTGTGAAATAACAAGAAAAGAAATTAGTTTTGTTTCATAAAAATTATTTTAAATATTAGACTGTTTAAGATGAAAAATTAAATGAGAAAATGCAAACCCGTATAGATATCAATGGGACAGTAATGTGAATCAAATGGATATTGCTTCAAATTGAATGGACAATGAATTTCCAACTCATAACTGAAAAAAAAAAAACTACATAACTGCTATTATTGCATCAAAGTAACTTTACTGATAAGCTTTTTCTATTTAAATTTCCCTTCAAAAAGATAGGAAAAAACTGAAAGATTGAAAAAATGTTAGAAAAAAAATTGAAACAAATTTTTACAAAAAGTGAAATGAAATTACGAAATATAAAATAGCTGGAAAGAACAAAAGAGGGAATGAGGGAAAAGATTGTATTCCTTTCAAAATATTTATTCATTTTACATTCCATCTCCGATGGATTAGTCACTAAAGAAACTGATTAGAGATATACTGATCATATATCAGTTTGATATTGCACGTGATCTAATCAGAAAATAAGAGTTACTCTTTCTTTTTTTTTTTTTTTTTTTTGTACTGTCACTCAATTGTCAAATTGGATGGATAGTTCCTTGCAATATCTTAATATCAAATAAATCCAACGATAGTATCAGTATTATTGCAAATTATTTTAGATAAAAAAATTCATACATTTAAAATAATTTTTACGATCATGAAAAAAAAAAGAAGCTTCAGTTAAGTTTATTTGTTATAGCTATCAACAACTTATTCTACTCAAAAGATGAAAGATACTATGAAAAGAAAAGTTGATAAAAGATAAGTATTAACTTTGATCGAGTAGATGTGGTGCCATCAGATGCTGAAATAAGAAGTCGATATGCATCCTTTGGTCGTACTTTATTTCCACCAAATTGTAAATCGCTGAATGGATAAAGATATTGATCATATTTGACAATAACTGAACCAGGTGGTCTACCTGATTTTTCCACTACCATTAACAGAGAAACGGATGCTTTGAAATTCTGTAAATGTATTAATTAATTAAAAATGATTAATTCTTCTTTTTTTTTTTTTTTTTTTGTTTTATTCTAAATTATTGTTTTTCTCGACAAGATGAAACCTGAAAAAGTCGTAAATATAAGTAGGCTGTTTTGATGAGATAAGAATATTCAAAAATATGAGGAATACTTGTTCATAATGATCCAATTGTACTTTTTAAAAAAAAAAGAAAAAAATGCGAACTTTTTGCTGAAAAAAAAAAACGAAAACATAATTACTTTGGGAAAGTAAGCGTAACTTGCTATAGATAAATGCAAAAAAAAAGCATTTTCATGATGGATTAGCACAAGTAATGTGTGTGAAAAGTGTAAAAAAAAGACGAATTTTTTCTTTTTAGTTTTAAAAATATCAAAAAAAAAAAAAA